TACACACACACACACACACACACACACACACACACACACACACACACACTCACACACACACACACACTGACATGCTTTCTTAAATGTTCAGTGTTATTTTTTTCAGTTCAAATGATAAAAAAACATTCAAATAATTAATTTAAAAAATATATAATAAAGAATTACCTTGACTAGTTAGTTGTTAATGCTTAAATAGTTAATTTATTATTTAAATCTGGACTCTTTTAGGCTCCATAATAATAATAAGATCTGAAGGGAAGATAAACAACTAAAGTAGCTGTCTTCACTCATGCTGTTGTTTGAATGCTGCTTATTTATACACTATGTTTACATGAAAAGGATCACATTTCGTGCATGCTACTGAAGTCAACCACATGAAATGGTTGACTTTTCCCACAAACGTCAGTGAATGTGTTTTATGAGATGAGATTTAGGAGGGATTAATTTAGTTCTTATGTGCTCAAAACTGTGCAGTCATGGTAACTTGACTGAAAGGAAGAGCAGGACAAGTGTTTGTTGACTTTTTCTCATCTTTGCACACTCGCTATGGCAATAACCACAGATTAATGATGTTGGGAAACTTTAAACACTTGAGAATGATTTTTAAACGTTTACATTTCATTCTGACCCTTTGCCTCCATAATCCTCATAGACTGTAGTTGCTAACATCCGAATGTAATTGATGTAGTTTAAAACAAAGCAGATTGCCGCCTGCTTATCAGTATACAAGAAAGCTAAACTCTCTTACTGTACTTCTTGAAACAATTTCAAAAGCCTCAGGATAAGAAAAGTGTAGATAATGGACTCTGTGCATGTGAAGTCTGTGAAAAGGGTTAAACAAATGATCGCTATTTGGTCCATTTTGTCTTCAGAGCTATTATGCCATTGAGAGCTACAGCAACTGCTGCAAGCTATTCTGTTTACACAGGAGGGAGAATGTTTCAGTAAAGGATCTCAGACTACACTTAGGTGAGAGATTAACTGATTGTAAGGTCAAAGGCTACAGGGCAGAAGACACTGATGGTTATTGTGTGACAGAAAGTAATTTGGACAATGTTCTACTAGAATTAAAATTAGACTGGCTATACCTTGGTGTTAATGAATAACTAAATGCAGTGGGATCCAAAATGATCAGGATGTATGAGACATAAAATCCAATTTAAAGAGGTCATATGATGCTGCTAAAAAGAACATTATTTTGTGTATTTCGTGTAATGAAATGTGTTTATGTGGTTTAAGGTTAAAAAACTCATTATTTTCCACATACTGTACATTATTGTTTCTCCTCTATGCCCTGCCTTTCTGAAACACGACGATTTTTACAAAGCTCATCGTTCTAAAAAAGCGAGGTGTGCTGTGATTGGCCAGCTATGCAGTGCGTTATGATAGGCCGAATACCTCAAGCGCGTGACGGAAATGTTACGCCCCTACCATATTGTGATGATGCCCTGTCAGGCTGGAGCGATG